ATTTGTTGACTTTTCAGTATGCAAATTAATCACATGATCACTGTGTAGTAAGGTCAGCTAAGGTCACTCACTCTTCCTGTCCTTATATGTTTACATGTACTATGCAAATTATTTCAAAATGGCCACCGTTGCATAGGTCACCATGAACAAAGTTCTGTAGTGTACTAAATCAACGTGGTTTGAATCTGATTCACAGATAGTGATTGCCAAACCTTGAGTTGATATCTGTCACAGTCCCAATTTTCAGTCTCAAATTCCTGTGCCTGTTGCCAAGTTTGGTGAATTGGTGAGTAGTTAGAGGGTTGTTACTTGTCTAATTGTTGTGGATTTTAAACTCTGAAGCAAGGTAGGACCCTTTTTCCTGTCTTTGTAAAGGTCATTCTAACCGTGACATGTGTGATTGCTGTGTTTGGATTACTAATAGGGATTGATTCTCAATTGTTTGTGTGTTATTTTCCCCCGTCTTTATCACGATCTGTAATAATCTTAAATTCATTTAGCTGTATTTATAAACAGTAAACCCTAAACATGTATCTCGCTTGACGTGATTTAACGTTGTGGTTTTCACCACATTCTTTTTAAAACCATGACAACCAGGGGGCTTAATCCTCTGGCATTTGTTTTGATAGAGAAGTGTTTTTTTTACAATTGACAGGAATGCTAGCAACCCCCCACTCTCACCCCCTGAAGTGTACTGTAGTTCACTATATCACAAGTGACATACTTTTAATCGTCTCATTCAATACAAAATGGAATTTCCTATTTAATGCCTCAAACCGGTTTATTTTATCCAATTTGGTCTCTGGTCATCAAAATGTTTGTGGTTTTCCCAATTTAATTTAATTTTTGATGATTATGAATGAAATGAATTTCCTATCTTTGTTCTCAGTATTTTTATATAGGTCATCGTTATTAGCGTCAAGTTTCTTCTCTCTTCCTGGTAATTTTTCACATGATACCCTGAGGATCCTATTTCTATCATGATCTTGCTGCATAACGCTATAAATATATTTCACGTTGTGAACATTCAGGCCTTGAAATTTGAAGTTTAGATTTCATAATATGCTACTAGTACGGTAGATTAGTTTCATTATTTTACTTTACATCTTTGCTAAGATTGTTGGTGTGACTGAATGTGCTCAGTGAATTGTTAAAGGTAATGTGCATGAGATGTTGTTTATCCATATTTTAATCCATGACCCAAATTAACGTTTTTTTTCAGATTTTTAAGAGCTAGAAAATGAATATTAATCATCCATAAATTTTTTCCGCTTATTTGGTACCATAACAAATTTCATTTTGGCTATAAAAGTTAAAAATACAGAAAAATTGACTTGCTTATTTTCATTTTTATTTGCAAGATCAAATCTGAACCATATCCCATTTGTCATATGATTTATATGTTATTGCTGTAATTGCGGCCACTGTACCCCCTCCCCTATACATAGTGCCTAACCGTGAAAACCATAGACGTTTAGTATTAAAGATGGCTTGCAACTTTATGGAATACTTTGAGTTTGGTTTGTTTTGTTTTGTTTTGTTTTGTTCTGGACTTTACAACACCGTTCGGTTTATAGTGTAGTGTGTGGGATTCAGTGATTGTCAACAAAGCGTACGTATGTGTATGTCCGAATAATTTGTAGAATGACTGTAAAATAAGTACATGGGGGTACCCAATGTTGCAAAAAACTTAGACCTCGTAATATTTCTTGTTTTTAAAAACAATCAGTAAACATTGTTACTGTAGTGAATAACTGTTGTAAATGTACCAGATTCAAATGTGAGTCAGTGGCGATGATATTGACAACCTTGGAAAAGTTGACCTGGTCGATGGTACAGTGGTTACCATGTTTGCCTAAAAGCACCAGGGAGGTTCTGGGTTCAATTACCGTAGACGACTGTTTACTCTACAATGTAAATCTGAGTACAGTCTGCTTCCAAACATGTATTAGTTATGGGAGTCTGATTAGCGCACAAGCACTTGCTATTAAAACGGCAGCAAAGTAGTAAATAACAGTAAGTGTTGACAAATATTTATGAATTGTATGCCATCGTTAAAAAAACAACAGTTATTTTGGTTTCATATTTCATGAAATAATTCGTATGCATGGACAAACTTTATAATTGTTGTTAAAAATACCACTGACAAAATGTTAGTTCATGTTTGCATCAAGCAAATTTTAGTATAGCACTTCTCAAAAGTTTTCAGGGATTTTACTTTCTGATTTCTGAACATATCCTAAGATATGAACCCCCATAGGACGAGTTGGTTGTTGATTAGAAATATGCTTGGATTATAGGCCCTGCTATATCCATGTCATGTTTATGGCACTTAACATTTCACAGAGCAGAATGCTATTTTAAAAGTACCCTATTATCGGTTAAGTAAAATCCCCAGCAAGTTGCATGATTAATCAGGTGTTTTCGTAATCTGACATATTCTGTGATCTTTTTTGATCCCTTGCCATCGATTCCTTCTAAGCAACCAACAAAGTATTTTTTTTTTGCAAGTTCCGAAACAATTTGATCAGATAAATATGAAAGCAATATCAAGTTTTGTCTTTTTGCTCAAAAATTGTGTTTCAAATTTCGACTGGAACAGGTGTAACCGATAAGCGAGAGTTGTATGTTTGAACTAAAAAATGCTGAAGCTGGCCATCATCCAGTATTAAATATAAGTACTATCATCCCTGGTACCTGTATTTTATGAGTAATGTAAATTTATTCAATTGCATGTGAGGGGTGGACCATTTAAAATGGGGGGGGGGGCTTTTTTATATACGTGTATATACATGAATTTTAGTTCCTGGTAGATACAATTCAAAAACTGTAAAAAATATTTGGTAAAAATTAATAATTGAAGATGCAGTGAAAAGACTAGTTCAGTTTTCCATCAGTTATGGTGGATGAAATAAACAGAATACAATAAATATGGAATGATATTAATCCAGACATGTAGTCAACTAAAAATTCGCTTCAAAATTAAGATAGAAATGAAAAAAAATGAATGAAAATGATGTGTTAACACATGAACTTTGACCTAGTGAACAAACAGGTATATGTATGTGGGCTTCAGTGGGATACGTGCTGTCTGGCGGGTAGCAAACCCATCCAGGAAACTTTATGTCAATGTTTACCAGTGCATAGACAGCCAATGTATTTATTAATTTTCAGTAATGAGCAAAAGACAATTCAGAGATAATTGTAAACACAACAACAACTTTGCCACTGTTGGTTTTTTCAGATGGCGTATAGTAGAGGGACAGTGAATCTCCAGACATCAGTAATTTGCTGGGTTTTTTCAGATTGCGTATAGTAGAGGGACAGTGAATCTCCAGACATCAGTAATTTGCTGTCAAATTCAAATTTTGTTCAAACAAATTATTTCCTGTTAAATTTTCTGTTCGATACTAAATATGTAGTAAATTTCCCATGACACTTGTTACAAATTTGGACAATATGTCCCAAGCTAATTTTGAACCCCCCCCCCCCACGACAGATGTCAAAGATGTGATTAATCTTACTCTTGTATGCTGTAATAATTAGGGTTTTGGTTTGCATACCTTCATGTTAAAAAATTGTGGAATGTTAAAACAAACAGCTGTCATGGGAAATGATGTGTGTTTGGTTACTGACAAGTAAGATGAGAGGGAACTAGTGATGGTACTCTGTATTTCGTTGTGATTGAACATATTCTGCGACTTAATGGATTGTTGGCCAATATGAGTGAACAATCTTATCTGTGGTGACTGGAATTAACATCAAAACAAAACACTTTTACATTGTACTTCATCAAAACTGATCCCCTCATTTCAACCCTGCGCACCCCTGTCTAGTAATTGAATATCCCAGAATGGCCTGTATTTTGTGTTTGTTTGTCTTCTGTTCCATTTCCATGTTCACTGTCCAATAATTGTTTAGATATGCCATGATTAATAGTTCTGTTTCTATCAGTCCAACCTTGGGTACATCAACTAAAACAAACTTCACTTCATCTTGTCTTCTGGTGGAGATTTGATATTGCCCAGATGTTCTTTATGTTCCAGATAGAACCAGCAGAACTTCGTTGTTGATCAACTTTTTTTTTTTCGCTTGGAATTTATTTTCGCTATTTTCGTTTAAAAGAAATTTAAAAGAAACACAAATACTCCAGTTACTGTGTGAAAGATTCTTTCAAATAATTGAAAAAGAGCAAATAAATAGAGAGGGTACCTGACTTGTTTCCATGGAAACAGTGACAATGTGCTCAGCACTACTATGGGATTTGGAATTGAGATTTGGTCACAATGCCTACAATGGATGTTTATAATTCAAAAGCTGATTCTACTACCCCGGTTTGTTTTCTTTGCATTCAACAAATACACAAATATATCTGCTACAATCATGGGAAAATTCAACAAAATTTCATTGAATTCTAAAAATTTCATTCGTTTTAAGCAATTAATATTTTTGGCAGTTCAAATTTATTGATATATAGGTCTGGCGTTTCATCCTCATTTCCTGAACATTCAAAAAACAACAATATATTTCCTTTTCTCAAGTATTTACTCCTATTTGTTTCAAAACCAGATTTTGCGACTATTTTCACTTCTGGGTTCCAGAATGATTGGTCTTCCTTTATCCGTTATCCATATTACCTTCATGTTCATGAATCAAGCTACCTAGAAAACCTTCTGGAAAACAATAAAAAGCTTGAAATATACGAAAGTTCTTTAGACACAAGCCAAAAAGGTTTATATTTACGTCATTTCGTTATTAAAAATCAGACATATCCACTTTCAAAAGAAAAAAAAATTGCGTCATTACACATCTGTTATTGGATGCCGTGTTGGGTTTCTCTATCTAGTGAGAGATTTTAATATTGGTAAAAAAATAGTGTAACACTCCTACATTATGTGGATAATTCTTGCGACGAATCATGTTGATAAAGTTAAACTGACGTACTCTTGTTATGATTGATTACAGGTATAATATAAAGTACGTACTCTTGACGGTACGGGCACCGCCTGACTCGTGCCTACTAAAGCTGAAGTTCAAATACTAGTTCTGGTCAGGTTTTTTTTTTTTTTTATTGACAAGCATTGTGGGTGGTGTGTACCCGTCCAAAGTCCAAGTACACACAGAAGATTACCTTCATATGTAGAAAACGACAACATCTCTAGCAACGTTGCTATTCCGCACACATGGTCAAATATGGAGAACTTCGCAGGTAAGACCAAGTTTAATATTATCGTGTCTCTATTCGGCACGCGCAACTTTCCCTGCTCAAGTATGTTTCAAATATTTTGTGTCTATAAGCCACAAACTTTTTGCAGGTGGTTGTTTCGGCTTAGAAAATGAACAGCAGCATCATCAGTTCATATCAAGTTCAAGGTTATTTCTGTCTTTCATGCCTGCTGTGTTCGGATTATCAGTTTTGGAAATTAGTTCATGGTCACTTTCTGCTACATTGTACCTTATGTTGTGCTTTATTGCCTTTGATTATAGCTTTCCTTTTTATTCTTCTTCCAAGAAATAATGATCTTATACCACTCATGCGAAGACATTTTAATCACAATTTGTTCATGAGTTTGCGCTAGTGTTTGTCAAAACACTAACATAAGTAGCAGAAACTGCATAAGAGTAAACATTTCATTGATGCTGGTTCTCATGGTGGAATTTACTTTAAGAAGCTTATAAAACAAAAACAAGTCGGTTTGTAAGGGATTTAACATTTTCGTCAACGATGACGACCAACTCTGGAAAGTAGTATCTTTCTGTAGTTCTAAATTGATAAGTTTCGGTTTTCAACAGTTTTTTTTAATTATCTCTTGACGTCTTATTTTACTCAATGTATTTAGCCCAGGTTAGATACGCTCAGAATGAGAACTTATGGGTGCTACAGTTTGATGTGATTCGGTCACTTGTACACGCACGTAGACTGATTTGGTTTGTGTAGAGATAAGACTCGAAATCATGCAGCATATGCAATTCTAGCCCATTGTTGCAAGATTAGATCTCAGATTGGTAGCCATTTTGTTTAAAAATAAAATATTGTACATTTAAAAATAATTGTATATTTATTGATTACACCTGAATGCATAGTGAAACCTGTTAAAACAAACGATCTGTCTGATCACTGTTTAGTATCGTTCAGTTTAGTGTTTTATATCGATTCTACCCTTCGCCATTTACTAGATCATTTGGTTTGTCATCATTTGCTAGATTGTTTGGTTTATATCAGTTTTACCAAGTGTCATCGTTTGCTAGATTGAATTTTGATCAAATGGAATCTAGTTGTTGTTGTTTTTTTTGTTTTTGTTATAATGTTTTTGTGCCAGGCGTCAGTTCCTGACAGTGAATGTCACCGTTGTCTCTCCTGACTTTTTTTTTTTTTGTAAAGTGCTAGTGCTGACACATAGTGCATTTTGCCACAGAAGTCATTTCCTGTTTGGGACTACATGACAGGGCTGTGTGGCCATCTCCCTATCAAATGGCAATTTTAACGCGCTATCCTGGCATCAACCAGGCCCGGTCGAACACAAGCACCTGCGGACCTTAACTTTCCCCAAAAGTTGCATTCGTTAGTGAATGAATCTCGACCAGTGGAATTGGCCTTTCCATTGAGTCTGTGTGGCACACTCACCCAGGATAGGGGTTGACCCTCTGATGTTCAGCCTAAGGTAGGATTTGAACTCGGGTCTACCGATCATGAGTCTGATGCGACAACCACTATGCTACCAGAGACCGGTTAACATCTAGTTGGTTTAAAATGAACAAAGTTATTGAAAAATACATAAAATATTAAACAATTTTGAGACAATATTTTGACTGGGGAGGGGGGGGGGGTATGCTGTAACTATGATGTTGCTAGGATAATGTTGCTATATTAATGAAATGACATTGAAGAGTGTTGACAGATGTTGCAGTGCATCATGGTCAATGTGAACTGTCTAAAACTCTGGAGATTACCTTGATTATTGAAAATAAATCTCAGAATAAATAAAAAACTAAAAAACGATAGTTAAAACAGATCACATGTTCCAAAGATTTGTATAGCAAACTGAGAACACGCAACGTTAAAAAATAAGACTTTTCTTGTGCTGTGAAATACTTAATTTTCGCTTGGAATTAATTTTTGCTGAATGAATAATTCAGTGAAAATAAAATCCATACAAAACACCCAAAAAGTCTTTTCAGCGAAAATTAATTCATGCTAAAATTAAGTATTTTTTACAGCATGCTGGTTATATGCACAGATGAAACAGTTGCTATGGTAATGAATGCATAATACCATATCTCATTTAGCATGCCCACATGTAAACACATGTAATCCTAACATCGGATATTTTTATTTTAGTCAAATTGCATCATTGTTATCAAGTAGTTTCCTATTTTGTAAAGACTGAACAATATTATGGACATCTTTATCAAACTTCTTCAGTTCTTGGTCACATGCAAATAGTTCTGACAGTCTGTTTATTTCATAATCTCCACACTTGGTCTATTATCTCTGTGTAGATTTGTTATTGGCCAGTTTTTGTCATATGCAAAACTGTCGCAGTTTGTTTCATATGTATATGTATATGTATAACCACAGTTTCGGTTCATGTAGATTGGTAATTCGTTGTCAGTATCTGTAACCCATACTTAGACTTATTTAGATGTAAACATACATTGTCAAAGAATACATTCAGTCTTTTGTTTTTATTCGACTGTACCATTCCACTGATAGCAATCAGACGAAGCCATGTGTATTTATTTTGTTCGTCGTGTATAAAGTCATTAATCGCACTTCTTACCCATGCTTTTTCGAGTTTTATACCATACGTAAAATAGCATGGCTACTCGTGCAACAGTTTGAGCATTCAGTGTTTAAAAACATCTGTACTTTTTCATTTGGCAACTATGGTAAATGAATGTTTATATTAAGTTTGTCATTTCTCGTAAATCTTTCGTCTGTTTGGTACATTTTTAGTCCCCGTTCGGACGAAGTCAGGGACTTGTAATTCGGTCTCCGTGCGCCCGTGTGTCCGGAGTCATATCTCAGAATCCCTTGGACCGATTCCGTTCATTCTTTGCATGTGCCTAGTACTTTATGTGGGACATATGCACATGCAGTGGTTTAGCGATTCGATTCAAAATGGCCGACTGGCAGCCATCTTGTTTTTTGAAAATGTTGTATTTTGGACATGCTTTGTCAGTTTTCATTCAAACTTGGTACATAGATTATACATGTTAGTATACATGTCCATGATGATTTATTTCACAATTGGATCAAAGATGGCCGACTGGCAGCCATCTTTTTTTTGAAAATGTCGTATTTTGGACATGCTTTGTCAGTTTTCATTCAAATTCAGTACATAGATCATACATGTTAGGATACATGTCCCCGACCGTCCGTGAGTTCCTGAGTCTGTCCGTCCGACCGTCCGTGTATCTGTCTGTCTGTGCGTCAGTCTATCCAACGTCATATTTCAGAATCCTGTGGACCGATTTCGTTCATTCTTTGCATGTGCCTAGTACCTTATGTGGGACATATGCACATGCAGTGGTTTAGCGATTCGATTCAAAATGGCCGACTGGCAGCCATCTTGTTTTTTGAAAATGTTGTATTTTGGACATGCTTTGTCAGTTGTCATTGAAACTTGGTACAAAGATTATACATGTTAGGATACATGTCCATGGCGATTTATTTTGCAATTGGATCAATTGGATGGTCGACTGGCAGGCGTCTTGTTTTTGTTTTTTTATGCGGTATCTTGGACGTGCTCTGTCAGTTTTCATTCAAATTTGGCACATACATGTACTTTATACATGTTAGGATGCATGTCCATGACAATTTGTTTCAAAATCTGGTCAAGGATGGCGGATTGACAGCCATCTGACTTTTTGGCCTTACTACTATATTTCCACAATTTATGTACCATTTTCATTCGTATTTGGCACATACATCATACATATCAATGTGTTTCATAATCAGATCAAAGATGGCTGTTTTGATGTAAATAAACAATCTGTTGTATACACCACTTGGAACTCAAGTTTCAAGGACACGCTCGCGACAATCTCTCTGCTTTAATGACGAGCACAAAGAGAACTTAATTGAGACTGTGTCATTTTCAAAGACTTGTTGTATTGTCACACATGCTGGTACTTTCGTGGGCCCTACAGTTCACACATCCTGGTACTTTCGTGGGCTTTACAGGTCACACGTCCTGGTACTTTCGTGGGCTCTACAGGTCACACATGCTGGTACTTTCGTGGGCCCTACAGGTCACACATCCTGGTACTTTTTGCAGGCCCAAATAGGTCGCACACTTGGTGCTTTCGTAAAGCTGTACAGGTCACACATTCTGGTACTTAAAAAGGGCCACATGGTCCCCCCCCTCCCCAAATACCTAGTGCTGTAACTAATTTGCATAATCGTTTGCATATCGAGTTTATGGCCTTCTCTTTGTTATCGGTTATGTCCATAGTACATGTACATTATGCTGGGTACAAAGAAGACCGAACATTTAAAATTTATTTATGAAGAAACTTTTTCATGAATTTTGTGAGCTGAGAAAAATCAGAAAA